GGTGTTAAGTATATTTCTTTGAAAGTTACGGGAATTTGTTGCTATGACAAAACGTAAACTAAGCTTAAGTTCAGCTAGTGTGATAGGTAACAGTAAAATATTTTGATGACTTAAATCATTATTTATTGAATTTTACAGTTACGTTTATCATATTAAAAAATAACACACACACACACACTGTTACATATTAGAATTTCAAATGGTCTGAAACCGAGCTAAAAGATACTTTAAATTTAGTAATTAAATTGTATTTTGGATTTAGCAGTTAAGTAAAAGCCGATATATATAGTCAGTTTATGATATTTACCAACAAGACTGATACACACAATTTTATTTTATAACACAAATATGTTTTAATATACACACAACAATACAATTTATAATAACAGTTATTACAAGCAACGATTTATGTACAAATGTTTCACAAATTTACAAGCAATATAAAGTCTTCTTTCTAGGCTGGAACTTCTTCGATATCTTATGGAGGGTTTACGGTGAGCGAGTTGATTACGAATTGACGTGGACATAATTCACTTAACAGGGATTTAGCTAGCTTTGTCCATCGTTATTTACCAGCCACACACGCCGAGTTTTCCATGATGAATTTATATAATGTTTTCGTAAAAATACTAATGTCCGATGACAATCCACTGAAGTTAAATGAGTTGTAATGTTCGAACTTTGTAAAGGTTCCTGGTCAAATATCTGAAGTTTTCCGATTGATAAGCGTTATAACGATCACAGTTATAGCTTCCAAAGTTTATAGCACACTAACTATAGCAAACTAATAATAGATACTCTCTTTTTGGCGCCTCGCGTTGGTTATATTTATAAGCGTGTGGAGGCTTTCTAGAAAATTCAGTTTTACGTAACAATACAAATTTAAGCGTTTGCGTACATACATACATATATTGTTGATTCTTACCCTCGAGAATCTTCTACAACTTTGGAGAATAGGCGAGAGTTTCCCAATACATATTTAACAGTATAAGCTATGTATGTTTCTAAATATAAATTTAATTTAAACAAACGTCGATGGTAAAATAAATGAATAATAATAAAAAATCACAACATATATATAATATATATATATATTATTTATTGAAATGAAGCTATATTTACCAGATATAAATTATTACTAGCGCAATTTGGAAAGGTCAGGTCCTCAGTCAGTAATAAATATTCGTTAGTTTATGTGATATTTTTTTACGCTTTGTAATTGGAGGCATATTATAATGTCCAAAATAACGTTTCAGAAGAAATATATTAAGGAAAAGTATTCAAGTTGAAATTGACTGAATATATGAAACAGAACTTTGTAATCAACAAAATAAATTTCAATTTCAAATACTAAAATTAATATTTTTAATATTTTGTTTTGAAAAAAGACGCTCAGAACGAAATTTTGTAAATTTCACGACATAAAAAATATAGACAAAGTGAATAAACTTTTATGATTTTTTTATGTAAACCAAAATTAAGTAATATTCAGTAAGTTGGTTAATTATTTTCACTGTGTGAAAGAAACAATCAAGGGACATCAATGACAACCTTTTAGTCCACAAACGGTTAAAAATTAAACATTAATAGGTGGTAAATATTAAGTGTTTATACAGTGCCAAGAATATCGTCATCAGTTGGCATGATGTCCTGTAAACATTACACATGGCATTTACTGATAACCATTGGCAGTATCGTCTCGAGTGACTTCCACAGGTGCATGCTGTTTCGTTGTTTTCAGTCAACACTAGCCTGATTTAAGTATCTTTCATCCTCCTACAGCCTTGATCGATTGAACATATGTGCCATGTGGCTGTGATACCATATGTATACCCGGTAGTTGCCATGTCTTACATGTTTCAAGAATGCATCTTCCTTCGATTGTAAGCTGGCTGCATATTTGTGTTTTGATGTGACTGTGACATATCACACTTCATCAAGGCCATCACCGAGCTGTAC